GGGACTCCAACCCAGAACCCTCTGGTCCTGGTTCCCCCGGGACTCCAACCCAGAACCCTCTGGTCCTGGTTCCCCCGGGACTCCAACCCAGAACCCTCTGGCTGTGAGGCCATGGTGCTGACCACCACACCACCTTGCCTCCCCGAGAACAAAGATTAATTTTCTAAATTCTAAATAAAAAGAAAGTTGAAAATGAGCAAAAATCCAGATTTGATGGCTCAGAAAAGCTGATTGTGACACTTTTGTTCAGTCTGAGCTGAACATGAAGAGTCTGAACCATCAGAGGCTTCAGCAGAGTTCCTGTCATTTAATCAGAGTTTCACTAAAGAACCAAAATGCTCTTTTCTACATGACTGATAAACTGATGAAAACTTAAAAACTTATTGTTGTTTTTTTTCAGAACAAATGAAAAAACTCACGAGTTTCCTTAATGACGAGTTCTTGGCTGTAATCCGTGTAGAAAACTGCCCCTCCTCCTCTTCTTCTTCCTCTGCAGGTGTATTTACCTCCCTCACTGATGACTTTACTGTTTGTTCCGTATGGAGCTGCAGGATAGACTGAGACATCATTTCTGAACCAGTCAAAGCTCCATCCATCAGAGCCGTCCTCCACAGAGCAGGTCAGTGTCACACTGCCCCCTGCTGGTATGATCCCTCTGTCTGCTCTCAGAGTTGGTTTGATTTCAAGTTCTGAAAGTTAAAAAACGACATAAAAAATAACAGAACAGTATAAGAGTGTAAATCACCTCATGAAACGTTTAGAAATAATCTGAATAATAGAGAGATTTAATTCAAATTTTTCAGAAAGACTTTGATCTAATCATAAATGATTATTGTTTCTAAATGTTGTTTTCTCATGATTATTACTATCATTAATTCATTCTGTTTGTCTTTTCAGAAACACACAGACTCGTGTAAATGAGGCCCCTCCTCAAACTGAAGCATGTAAAGCTTTTCTACTTCAGAGTTTGCAACGTTTGCTGCTGTTTGAAAGCTGCTAAAACAAACACAGAACAGGAAGTTGGTCTGACCTTGATATCCATCGCTGGGCGTTCTGAGCACTGCGGTGAAGACAAAACTGAGTTAGACTGAACAACCTGACCAATATTAAACACTAATCATTAAAAACCGTCACAACAATGGAGGAATATCATGAAAAACAGGCCAAATCTGAACACATTTCTGTAGTTTCTGAGGTGATGAGCTCCTTCCGGCTGCAGTCGGCATGTTTAAGTAAAAAAAAAAAAGAGGTTTCCTCTCCCTGTTGCAGAAAAAACACTGAGCCTGAAAAGCAGTGATGTACTCACAGAACAACCCCAGCACACAGAGCCAAGCGAGCCCCATCCTGGTCCCGTCCTCTGCTCTGCACCCGGACACACGAAGAAAAGGCAGAAGTCACAACTGTTCTTTATTTAAGAATAGCTTTCACACCTCTACTCACTAAAGTCCTCCTCCCCTTCCTTCCTTTACCCACTGAGCTCGGCCTCAGCAGCTCTGACCACAGAAGTTATTTGTCCTTCTTTTAGTCTACAGCAGACACGAATCAGCTTGTTTCTGTGCAGAAAAACCTGTAAAATATGAGGCTGGAAGGTTTGCAGTAAACATGCAGAATGTCATGTGGATGCATGTTGGTGTTTGCATGAAGCATTTAGTCTTTTCTGAATGTGGAAATAAGGCGGAAACACACATTCTCCACAGACGTCTCTGATTGGCTGTTCAGAGTAGACTGAGTACGCCAACAGGAAGGCAGCAGAGACAGTTGCCACCTTATAAGTCGATGTTCTCTCTTCTCTCTTTTCTCTTCTCTTTTTTTCTCCTTAACAAGCAAAGACTTCGTGCAATAACTAAAAGTTTAATTGTGTTCATAGTCCTGCATTTCAGCCCAACGATGACAGAAGATGGTCAATATTTATAGGACAGAAAGACAAGATATCAGGGAGGAATACAAGAAATACATTACCCATAATGCAATGCACATACTGGTAATATTTAGATTTATTGGCAAAAAAATCCAAATTTGTTCAAACAATCATTGAATATAGAGATTAAAAGTCAAGAGTGCAGATAAAATACCTTCAGTTGTCAAATGCACAGTCAAATAAAACCGTTTTCAGCCTGGATTCAGAGTTGAGGCCTGTCTCACCTCTCCAGGAAGCTCCCCACAATAAATACACTACATTACCCATAATGCACTGCACACATTGCTGACTATAGATGTTAAAGGAACTGTGAGGTCCTGGTTGGAGGGGCAGAGATGGGACATGGGATGTTGAATCCATCACCTTCAGCACCACGGACAGAGGCAGTCTGTAGTATATGATTTAACTAGAACATTTCTGAAGAAATTTTGGAGGGGGGCCACAAGCTGCCCGTCCAGGAACAGGTCGGCCAATCGATATTTGGGCTCTCTGTAATGTGTGCTCGCACTTATGAGAGGGCCTGAGGGAGAGACGCAGTGATGGAGGGACCCGGCTGAGCTCTGGGGCCCGCTGACCGAATACGGATGGGGTGGGCAGGTCGGGGGTCACATTGGCTGAAAGCTGAGAAAAAGACCTACGCAACGAGGTATGACAGGGCCCCGGTCCGGTTCCGCCCTGGTTGGGTCCGATCCCCAGAACCAGAACCAGAACCGGGCTCTGACTAAAGCCCTCTAAGAAATAACGTATTTCTTAAAAAAATCACTGAGAGCGGGCTTCGCCCGCCTTGAAGCAAAAGCAATGTATTGCTTAAATCTGGAACCAGGAGCACAGCTCACAGAGCTCTGCAGAGACCAACAGCACTGCGGTGGGTCTCTGCTAATCGCCACGGCGACAGCAGCCAGCAGCCAGGCCAAAGTCTCAACTCCCACACCTGTGACTCATCAGTAAGCCGTAGCTCTGACACACACAACTGACAGTTTTAATGAAAAGTTGCCTCCGAACGGCTGTACGCTGTTCGAAAACTATATCACAAGACTGAAAAATTCTTGGACCGTGAGCGGGCCGAGAATTTCAGGTCTCAGCACGTCTGTTTATTTTTCGCCTGATCCCAGCGGTTATTTTTTTATGGCAATTTCAAAATGAGGGCTGTTTTGTCTCTGGCGTCCTATTAGAGAGGGTTGTGAAAGTCTGGACTCTGGGCCCGATTGCCGGATAACCATAAGGCTGAGGTAAAAAGCGGGCACATCGGCGGAAAGAGGACACCCGCGGCTACGTTTTGAGGCCATTTTGGTGCCGCTCGGCCCCACGGATTGGTCACGAGAGGCCAAAGTATGAACATCACCACAGCCAGCTCAGAGGCTTTAACGAGCTGAGTTAGAGTGCGGGCCATGATCTCTGATTTTCTGAATTTCACTAAAACGTCAACAGCGATTGCGGGGAAACGGTGCGAGATCTGGCCTCGTGGCTCCGATAAGGCGGAGGCCCGTCTTTCGTGTCCCGTTCAATGTTCGAACGAGGTCTCTCGGAGGTCGTGGGGCAGAGCGATGAGGCCCTGACGGGCCTCATCTTTCGGCTTTTTTTAGGCCCGTTTGTCGGCGGTCCCCATGCATTCCTATGGGAAAACGCTCGCCACTTTTTCGCCGTTTACTCGGAAACGCCCGCTCCTTTGAGAAAGTAGAAGTAATAGCACGCATGGCTAGGTGGGTCCGGACGCGTGTGCCGACTTTGGGCCCGATCCGTCGAACCGTGCGGGAGGAGTAGTGGTCCGCGGAAACGGGAGAACGATAATAAGTCGAAGAGTAATAGGTGGGCCTTGCCTCCGGCAGTGGCCCCTCTAATAAAGGCGCTTCACATTCATGATTCTAAATTCAATAAAAGCATTTTAATCATCAGGC